GAGAACAAGGGGTGAGAGGGTCACCCCTCTCTGATTTTAAGGCTCAAAGACACATCTAAGCCACTAAAAATCCACTGGATTTCAGTGGCTAAGAGGCCAAACCAAGGCCAATGCAAATGCTCTAATACATAGCTCAAAACATGAGAAAATGAAGCATGCAAGGGGGAAGATGACCCCAAAAAGAAAAGAGTCCTTAAACAAACATGTTTAGAAGATCAAAAAAAGACTTTTTTCAGTTTATGTCGAAGTCCAAAAATGCTTGCAAATAAGGCTACGATATGATGCAAAATAAGCCTTAAAAGAGAGAATGGAGCATACAAGGAGGTAGATGACCTCAAACAAAAAAGTGTCCTTAAACAAAGTTCAAGAGGGGATCAAAATAAGACACTTTTCAGTTCATGTCAAATCCCGAAAATGCTTTCAAATGGAGCTAAGGTATAGAGCAAAATAGTGCAAAAATGGGGGAAATGGAGACTTACCCTTGTAGCACAGCAATGCAGCAACTTCTGGACCAAGAAAGTGAGCCTTCAACCTCTGAAAATGAGTTCCAAGGTGCTGGAATGGATGGTGGAGGTGTTAGGCTTAGAGATATAGTGTAAATGGCCAAGAAAAAGGGTGTTTTGAGCTTGGAATGGAGAGTTATGAAGGGGAGTATGCAATGCTCCAGCCAAATCTTTTCTAACCTTGCAATATGGAGTTGAGAGCTTCTCTTATAGAAGACAAAGGGCCATGGCTTCTCTAGGAAGCCTCAAGTAAAAGGTGCAAGCTTCTAAAGGAAGCTAACCAAAAGGGTCAAGCTTCTTGAGGAAGGGTCAAGCTTCCTCAAGACCTCAAGAAGCTTGGCTAAAGGGTCAAGCTTCTCTCAAAAGCTAAGCAAAGGGACCAAAGCTTGCTTAAGAAGAGAAACAAAGGGCTCAAATCTCATACAGTGGGTCAATTGCTTCACAGCTGGCACAGCTGGAACACACTCAGAGAGACAAAACAGAGGGTAGCTGGCCGGCCAGTTCAAGTGGTCGGCCGACCACTTGCCCTGGTCGTATGACCAGGGTTCAAAAGGTTCAAGGCCTAAAGCTAGTCGGTCATGAATCCCTTGAAGTTAGCTTTCCAATGCCGCAAACCTTGCATTAAAGTTCCTCCTGTGCAAAAAGTTATGCCTGTTTTGGTGAAGCCGCGCAGATTCGGTCCAACCAAACTTCAACTAACCATATGTCCCCCACACGGACTTGGCTTTAGGAGATTTTTTGAGTGAAAAATGAAGCCCCCGAAGTCTCCTTTCCAATGGAAATGGCCTCACAGCTAAATTCCTCATGTGCAAAGAGTTATGCCCGTTTCGGTGAAGCCGCGCAGTTTTGGTCCTCTCGGATTCATGCCGAACCACTTTTGACCACCTGATTTTTCTGGTCTGCCATCAGATTTTCTGGTCGGCCATGTGGCCAAATTGAAGCCCCAGAAGTTATCTTTCCAATGGCACCAACCTTGCATCAAAATTCCCCCTGTGCAAAGAGTTATGCCCGTTTCGGTGGAGTCGTGCAGTTTCGGTCCTACCCGGATTCATGCCGAACTTCTCCCAAACTAGTTTTCCTCTCTCTTCTCCTCTTTTCTTCAACTCCAAACCCCTAGACAAGGTGTTTTGAAAGTTTTTTCAAAGATTTCATCTCTCTTTCATTCATTTCCACTTTGTCCTTGCTCGGTTTATCGAAAAACGCAACATTTGACAAAATGCGATCGGAATATCGTAAAAATTTTATTTCAGAAACATTTTGAAAGAGAGAGTTTTAAGGTCTAAAATCTTTTGATCAAGAGTGTTTTGGTCCAAAAAGGGGTATTAAGTTGAGATTTGACTCTCTCCTTGCCGAAGAAACTGAACCTTTCCCCTGCACAATTTCCAAAACCATCAATCGCGTCCAAGTCTTAAAGGCGGTCAAAAATGGGGTGTCTACAGCAGCATAAAGCTCGTTTGGTAGTCAAAGGCTTTGGGAAGAAGAAGGGAATTGATTTTGATAAGATCTTCTCCCCAGTTGTGAAGATGACTTACATTCGAGTAGCTTTGGGATTAGCAGCTCGCTCGAATCTGGAAGTAGAACAAATGGATGTCAAGACTGCCTTTCTCCATGGTGAGTTGGAAGAAGAGATCTACATGGAGCAACTAGAAGGATTTGAAGTTAAAGGAAAACAGAAACTAGTCTGCAAACTGAAGAAGAGTCTCTACGGCCTGAAACAAGCACCGAGACAATGGTACAAGAAGTTTGATTCATTTATGGTGGATCACGAGTACACAAGAACGGTGGCAGACTAGCGTGTATATTTCCGAAGGTTTTCGGATGGAAACTTCATTATCCTACTGTTGTATGTCGATGATATGCTGATTATTGGACAAGATACTACTATGATCAACAAGTTGAAAAAAGACTTGTCGCAGTACTTTGACATGAAGAATTTAGGCCCAGCACAACAAATTTTGGGCATGAAGATTGTTCGTGATAGAAAAGCCAAGAAGATATGGCTGTCACAGGAGAAATATGTTAAACGGGTAATTGAAAGGTTCAACATGAAAGATGCCAAGCCAATCAGCACACCACTGGCCAACCATTTCAATATGACAAAGCGTTCGTGTCCCACGACCAGCTCTGAAAGGAAAGAAATGGAGGCAATCCCTTATTCTTCCGCAGTAGGAAGTTTGATGTATGCAATGGTGTGTACCCGGCCAGATATAGCTCACGTAGTTGGTGTTGTGAGCAGATTCCTCGCCAATCCAGGAAATGAGCATTGGGAGGTCGTCAAATGGATTCTTCGGTACCTGAAGGGAACTTCAAAGATGTGTTTATGTTTCGGGGGAGCTGAACCAATTTTAGAGGGTTTTACAGATGCCGATATGGCTGGTGATCTTGATGGTAGAAAGTCTACATCAGGATTTTTGTTCACCTTTGCAGGGAGAGCTATTTCATGGCAGTCCAAACTACAAAAGTGTGTTGCTTTTTCTACAACAGAGGCAGAGTACATTGCTGCCGCAGATGCTGGAAAGGAAATGTTGTGGTTAAAACGGTTTCTCCAAGAATTGGGTCTACAGCAATAAGAATACAAGGTACATTGTGATAGTCAAAGTGCAATTGATTTGAGCAAGAATTCCATGTACCATTCACGTACAAAACACATTGATGTCTGATATCATTGGATACGAGAAGTAATGGAAAAACAACTGATGAAGCTAGTGAAGATTCACACAGACAAGAATCCTTCTGATATGATGACCAAGGGTGTCACCAGAGACAAACTGGAAGTTTACAAGCATCTGACCGGGATGAACTTCAAGTGAGAAGTCAGTTGTCCATGTGGGCGTAGAGGGGGAGCATTGTTGGCTCCATCCACTACCCACATGGTAAGGAGCCCACCATCCACATGGTATGGGTGGCACCATGTAGTGAAGGAAGCTGGTGGGGCAGTACCAACTCACCAAAGGTAGATGGTGAGGGTGGCACAACCAAGCCCACTCATGGTTGTCATTTCACCTACTCCTCTTCACTTGGTTATAAATTGACATAAGTGAGGAGGGGTTGTATAGAGATATATGGGAGTGACACACTGAGCTGAGAATACACAGAGGAGAGTATAATATGTGAGTGAGAGTTCTATAGAGAGTTGTGAGGTGTGAATTCTGTAATCTCCCTCCGGAATAATTTTATAGTGGATACCTCTCCGTGGACGTAGGCAATTGCCGAACTACGTAAATATTCTTGTGTTATTGTGTGGAATTGATTTCTGGTGTCCCATAGTCCTAACAGGTTGCACACTTAAACAACACTCATATAATATATATATATATATGTCTTTTATCAATTCTATTTTTGAACTTTTCATAAATTGAATGATTTGATCACCTAATGGATTTTGTGAATAAACTTTTCGTATACGGTATACGGTATATATATATATATATAACACTGATACAAAAGGAGAATTTTTTAGGTTGTTTATATAATCATATTTAGACGAAGAATTATGTGCTGGGTTGACCTAAGCTTATGGTGCCCATGAATTTTAAATTAGTTGCAATTGGTGTGTGGCAGTGTTGAGGTGCGTGTGGAAGTGGATTTGGTGAGATAAAAATAGGGGAAGAGGAAGTTGATGCGGTACATGGGTTAGAGGGAAGGAATAGAGAGAGGAAGAAAAATGGCATGCTTTGTAAATTTTAAGATATGTAAGGATATTTTGATTTTAAAAAATAGTTACTTTCTTCATTGTCTTAAAGTGTAGATAAAGACTTACAGATAAAATTTTCTTGTTTTGAATCACAGTTGGTATATATGCCCTTGGAGAAGTTGCATTAGTAAACTCCTCCTCAACTTTGATTTTGGACTTTTGGACATATGCTCTTTTTTTTGTGTGTGTGTGAGATATGATTTTGAGGACTTTTATTTGATTATGAAGACATTGATGCCTTGATTATGAAGACTTTGATGTCAATTGGTATGTGGGTTGATTTTTTGACTTATTAGCTATTTCAGTTCCTGTTAAAAAGTTGGTTTGGATTAATTTTTTTGATTTTACTCTCTTCATTGTCGTGTGAACAACATAATTAGTTAACTTGAATGGAAAAGTGGACGGTGCAATTTGATCCACAAATTACGTGGGAGTTATGTAATTATTTTTAAATGATAAGAGAGCGTATGGCCTAACTATAAGAGGATAAAGTCAAGTTTGCACAAATTTATTTTACCTGCAGGTAAAAAAGTTCAAATGCAAATTAGCCTAATTTTTTTTTTAAAATAAAATTTATGATGTTTAAATGTTTTGAATGATGCCATCTATAAAATTTTCTAGAGTGGCACTGGTTGGATTAGTAAACTCATGGTCAAAGTTTGATTTTTATTTCATCGTCTCAGTTTTTGCTTCTCACCGAAGTTGTTGAAGTCAATTGTGTATTTTTTTTTTTTTTTGCCTAATGTTATTAGTCTATCTGATTCTGAAGACTTTATTTATGCTTTACCTTTACCTTGGAATAAAAGCACATCGTATAGACCAATCTTGGCCATCTTAATAAATTATCAAGATTGGAAATGGAGAACAGATTGTCTGAGGCAGCTCGGACAGGCAACGTAGGAGCATTGCAGAAACTGCTTCAAGAAAATCCTTTGATTCTCGCTGATTTTGCATTGATCTTTCCATATGAGAATCCTCTCCACATTGCTACTAAGGCCAGACAGCTTGTTTTTGTACGAGAAATTATAAAACACAATCCTGAATTTGCTAGCGAATCAAATCAAGATGGGTTTAGGCCAATGGACATGGCTTCAACTTTTGGGTATGTGGAGATAGTCACAGAGCTTCTGGGAGCAGGGCCTGAAATCTGTCGTTTGAGCGGTAGAGATGGAAAGACGGCACTTCACTATGCTGCTATAAATGGGAGAGTAATGGTCATAGATCAATTGCTATCTACATGTGGAGCATCTATTAAAGATGTTACCGCTTTGGGAGAAACTGCACTTCATCTGGCTGTGAAGTTCTGCAAATTTGAAGCGTTTAAATGCTTGATCAAATGGATAGAACAGCTACACATGGAGGAGATGGTAAATTGGCATGATAGGGATGGAAACACCGTCTTGCATATTTCAGTCTCTAGAAAACAACTCAGGGCAAGTTCAGCACACCCTATCTTTTTTTTTTCCCCTCTATACTCAATTAAATCTGTCGTGGATTTTTCATTATCTTGTTAGTCTCAGATTTGTCCGTCATGAAAATTATGGAATGATTTATAAAATCAGGACTTCACTAAGGCCAAGTTTGACAACTCTTAAAAAATCCAAAAAGTCACTATCCTATTTAAATCTCATCATCTTATTTAAGTCACATCACCTCTCTAGCACATCACTTCAAACCCAACCTAAACCCAACCCATATTTCATAAAAAGTCAAAAAGTGCACTTATTTAGTCTTCCCAAACTTGGCCTAAATCTAATGAGACCAAGGGAAGGGTTGGTCTGGTGGATGAGATGTTTGCTTATCTGGTGGATGCACTAATTTGAGTCTCACTATTGTGCTGTGTAATTTTCCCTTCCCCTATATTTCCATCTTCTAGGGATTGTTGAGATTCGCCAAGATTAGTGTATGATGAATGCATCTAGAGTCATCTTGCACCCATACTCTTGATCCATCCTTCCTACTGACACACAGAGTCACACAAGATGCATAAAACATAATTTATATACAAAAATTTGATTAATAAATTTTGTCTTGATGTTCTCTAAAAGTGGAGGAGGTGTGTTCTGTCACTAAAATTATTTACCAGTGTTTTCAAACTTGATTCATCATATTTCCCCATAACAATTTGGGTTTGTACTGAAAAAGAAATGAATTAGAACAATTATGGACTGCTGCAATGTGTCTCTTGTGTAATGAATATTATTACCTGGGTAAACTTGTGAACATTTTCTTATTGATATAGATAACTTTTTCGTTGCATGGAATGCTTGCACAGTGAATAATGATTATATATTTTGGTTTTGTAGAGTGTAGAGCTACTGCTGAATAGCAGCAATATTATTAGTAGCTCATTGGAACTGAATGCAATGAACTCGAGCGGTTTGACAGCAATGGATATCATGGACATAGTAACCGAAGGTCCCAGCGACATCCAACTCAGAGAAGTTCTCCAATCTGCCGGAGCACTTAAAGCTTGCAACATCAATGGCATATCTATAACTACTTCCCTTCAGCAATTCACAACCAACAACAACCGAACCTATCAGGAGTTGCTTCCTCTTCAAGAACCTTCAAAGGATTGGTTTAAATATTTTAAATTTCAACAACAAAGAGATTCTCCAAGTGATGTGCGCAATACATTGTTAGTGGTGGCAGCACTTATTGCAACAGTGACATTCCAAGCAGGTGTGAACCCTCCAACCGGCTTTGCTTCCCCAGCTCCTACACCAGCACCACCACCACCACCACCACCACTAGCAACACGAACAGCACCACCACCCCCTGCATATCATCCATCTCTAATTCCTGCTTTAGCTACAGTCTCTGGAAATTTAGGCTCATTAGCTCCAACTCGGTTTTTGTTTTTGTTTGCGAACACTCTTGGCCTTTTTGCATCACTGAGCATTATAATATATCTCACAGCTGGATTTCCTTTCCAAAGGGAGCTACAAATCTCTATATATTCAATGATGTGTGCTTATGGCTTTTCAACTGCCCATTTCCAACCACATGGAGGCACTCATTCCCTAGTTTTTGCGATTGCCTCTGTTTTGCCCTTTTTGTCTCGGTGGCTGCCACGATGGGCAAAAAAGGCTTGGAGATTTTGGAAAAATTCGTCGCGTAGAGATATCAGGCTGCCGAGAATTTGACAACATTCTCATCTTTTCTTCGAAATGGCTTGGCTAGTTCTACTATTACCAACTACTACGCCAATAAGAAACCAAAGACTCTGCATAACCTTGTAGCTTGACCAAAAGTTTTATTAGAGATTGTTGTGTGTTGGTGTAAAGAGGTTGACGTGTTGAAAAAATAAGCTTGTTTTTAGTAATTTGGGAGTTGTGTTTTCTTATATACATTAAGTTTATGCAAGTAATGCAGAAGTGTTGTGTTAACAGATTTTTTAATGGTATGTTACTGTTTAGTTGTGTTTTCAACTCTATATATCACTTTGTAATTTACTTATTTAAAATATAAGTGAATAGTTTTTCTTCTCTTATTCTCCTTCAAATTGTACTAGTGTATGTTAAAAAATTGTTAATTTAGTGAATGTATGATATACTCTGCTGACCATTTTAATAAATTTTTTAAAACTTTCTATAAAAAGACATAAAAAAATGTAGATATAATAATATGATTTATAATTTTTTTTTTGACTAAAATAACCTACTGATAATAAACGAGACTAGAATAGAGACGTTAAATGCTTCTGGTGAATTTACTATGCCTTGGGAATTTAATCACTAAAAATAGATAATAATTAACTATCATAATCTCAAAAATCAATAATAATAAGCTATTAAAACATAGATGAAGATCACAATGAAAAAAGAATAATGTAAAATTGAATATGAAGAAATTAAAAAATAGCTTGCGAGATTTATGAGATGCATTCTTCTTTCGTTATGCAAATACTGACAGTCGAATATTACTTAAAGATACAATTTAGAAGTTCACAAAATATATATTAGGGTTGGGTTTTTCTAATATTGATTACATCTTAACATGAGAGAATTTGAGAAGCCTGTAGAGTCTACCATAGTGTAGGATGCTTTTGGAGTTATCAAACGTACCCAACAGTTTAGACTCCCGATCTGCTAATCTAGTCGTACTAGTGCAATGTAAAATATAAAATGAGAGTCCAAATCTGACAACTTTTATAAAAAATCCATCTTATTGCAAAATATTGCCAGAAATAGACTACATCACCAGATTTCAGAATCGCCACCGAATCTTTTCGAAAAATTAGAAAATTCGTGACTCGTGCGAAAGGCCACTGTCCGTCATAATCAAAGTGTCTCGGTTCGGGAATATAGGCATATTTCTCAAACATAACAATGTGGCAATTTATTAGAATATTTATGGTAACTCTCTTTCATGTCTTCTCTAATTATCAATCATCTTTTTTACACATCACTAAATCTTAAAAATGGGTTTAGAAAATAGGCCGATATATCATTTTTGTTAAAGTGAATGGGATGTGAGTCACTCATATAATGAATATAGAGAGGAGGAGATTTGCTAATTATTTTTAATGAATATTTATTTATTTTAGAATGTGAAATCAACCCAAAACGCACGTATAATTGGTCTAAAGCTAAGTGCGACGAACTAACAGTTCGACTTCAACTCACAATGTTTGTTCGTCATACCTGTCCTTAGACCAATTATACATGTGTCTTAGATTAATTTCACATCCTAGAACAAATAAATATCTATTAAAAAAAATTAGCAAATTTCCTTCTCTTTCTCAATTTATATGATTAATTAATAATAATATCTTCAGCAATCCTATATTTCTAAAAATATTATTTAAAATATTATGGAAAAAAAAAATTAATGGTCTATATTCGTTGGTTTTTTTTTATTGGCTGCTCTATATTCATTTGTATGAGTGACTCACATCCAATTCACTTTGAAAAAAATGATATAAAGGCTTATTTTCTAGACTCAATTTTAAGATTTAGTGATGTGTAAAAAAAATAATTAATAATTAGAGAAAAATGAGAGAAAATTGCCATAAATATTGTAATAAATTGCCACATGGTTATGTTTAAGAAATAAGTCAAACTTTTATATTAGAATAACATTACTCTAACTTTAAATATACAACACCTATATAATACAATGTATTTGGTGATATAAATTATTATTATTATTATTATTATTATTATTATTAAGGGTAAATTACACTGACACCCCCGCTATATGTTTGAAATCACACTGTCATCTCCTTTATTTCTTCAAATCACACAGTCATCCCTCGTCAGGTGACACATTGTCAAATCTGTTTAGTTAAAAAGTCAAATGACTTTTATACCATTATATGCCTTAGTAAACATTTCACCTAATCTACCTACGAGGTACATCTTTTATTCTTTTATCAATATATGAGAGGTTTATTCATGTTTGGAGACTCCGTTTGCTTGAGTTTTTGAAACTTATTTTGAGAATAATATAAAATAATTTGACAAAAACAAACACACAAAATATATATTTTTTAATTTTTAAAAATAATTTCCATCCAAAAAGAGAGAAAAGTTTATGAAAAAATTAGTAGTCAATTATTTTCACCAATCTAATGTTGAAATTTTTTATAAAACATAAATTCTAAAAACTCAACCAAATAGAGGGAAACAAACATCTCAATGCTCTTCAATTTACCAAACATCTCACTTAGCTTAAGCTAGCAAAATAAACATCTCATCTCATAAAATAAAATTTTTAAAAAAATAAATAAATAAAATTGAAAAGCAATTTCATTTAAGGGAAATTTTGGTTTTTAGAGGTATTTAATTGATGATGTCATCTAATTATGTTAAGCCAACCAATGTTTGGCCAATAGAGGGATTATACAAAATTCTAAAGCAAAAGATACAATTTGATTTTAGGAAATGAAAGGAGTGACCGTGTAATTTCAGACAAATTGAGAAGTTGTTAGCCTAATTTACCCTAATGATAATAAGTGATACATAGCGTGATCAATTGGAATATAACAAGTCAAATGGTAAAAAAGACACTTCAAATGTCATTGTCCTTTTTTTAAGAATTTAAGGCTGTAAGTTATCTATCAAATTACTGCAAGAAGACAAATTTAGGTTAGGTAGACTAAGGTTGTGTTTTACTAGGGTAATTTTTAGAAATTATTACATATTCATAAATAAATAAAAAATTATAATTTTAATTATTATTATTTATATCACTTATCATTTATTTGTAATTATTTCTTTAAGATACCATTTAATAGTCCATTTGAGTCTTTTTCTATTTTTAAAAAAATAAAAAATAAAAAAATCTAAGAGTATAACCGTGAATTAACATGTCCACAGCAGAAGCTGATAATCAGAAGCAAGGGGTGAGCAGCTTCTCAGAATCAGCTTTTTTGACTTAAAATAAGTTGTTAGAATCAGAAGCTGTTTGAAATAAGTTTAACCAAACAGTCCAAAATAACTTTTTAAAAGCCAGAAGCCATAAGTTGGCTTAAAAAAGCTGCACCAAACACCCTAAGTGTAGGATGCTTTTGGGGTTATCAAACGCGCCCAACAGTTTATACTCCTGATCTCTTGATTTAGTCTTACTAGTGCAATATGAAATATAAAATGAGAGTCCAAATCTGACAACTTTTATAGAAAATCCATCTTATTGCAAAATATTGCAAGAAATGGACTACATCACCAAATTTCAGAATCGCCACCGAATTTTTTTGGAAAATTAGAAAATTCGTGACTCGTGTGAAAGGCCACTGTCCGTCATAATCAAAGTGTCTCGGCTCGGGAATATAGGTATATTTCTCAAACATAACAATGTGGCAATTTATTAGAATATTTATGGTAACTCTCTTTCATGTCTTCTCTAATTATCAATCATCTTTTTTACACATCACTAAATCTTAAAAATGGATTTAGAAAATAGACCGATATATCATTTTTGTCAAAGTGAATGGGATGTGAGTCACTCATATAATGAATATAGAAAGGAGGAGATTTGCTAATTATTTTTGATGGATATTTATTTATTCTAGGATGTGAAATCAACCCAAAACGTATGTATAATTGGTCTAAAGCTAAGTGCGACGAAGTAACCGTTCGACTTCAACTCACAATGTTTGTTTGTCATACGTCCTTGGACCAATTATACATGTCTTAGATTAATTTCACATCCTAGAACAAATAAATATCTATTAAAAAAAATTAGCAAATCTCCTTCTCTTTCTCAATTTCTATGATCAATTAATAAAAATATCTTCAGCAATCCTATATATCTAAAAATATTATTTAAAAAAATTATGGAAAAAAAAATTAATGGTATTCGTTGGTTTTTTTTTATTGGCTGCTCTATATTCATTTGTATGAGTGACTCACATCCAATTCACTTTGAAAAAAATGATATAAAGGCCTATTTTCTAGACTCAATTTTAAGATTTAATGATGTGTAAAAAAAATAATTAATAATTAAAGAAAACATGAGAGAAAGTTGCCATAAATATTGTAATAAATTGCCACATCGTTATATATGTTTAAGAAATAAGTCAAACTTTTAGATAAGAATAACATTAAGTCAAATGACTTTTATACCCTTATATGCCTTAGGAAACATTTCACCCAATCTACCTACGAAGTTCATCTTTTATTCTTTTATCAATATATGAGAGGTTTGCACATAGGAAAGGCACTTCGGAGTTGAGTACTGTTTTTATTCATGTTTGGAGACTCCATTTGCTTGAGTTTTTGAAACTTATTTTGAGCATAATATAAAATAATTTGACAAAAACAAACACACAAAATATATATTTTTTAATTTTTAAAAATAATTTCCATCCAAAAAGAGAGAAAAGTTTATGAAAAAATTAGTAGTCAATTATTTTCACCAATCTAATTTTGAAATTTTTTATAAAACATAAATTCTAAAAACTCAACCAAATAGAGGGAAACAAACATCTCAATACTCTTCAATTTACCAAACATCTCACTTAGCTTAAGCTAGCAAAATAAACATCTCATCTCATAAAATAAAATTTTTAAAAAAATAAATAAATAAAATTGAAAAGCAATTTCATTTAAGGGAAATTTTGGTTTTTAGAGGTATTTAATTGATGATGTCATCTAATTATGTTAAGCCAACCAATGTTTGGCCAATAGAGGGATTATACAAAATTCTAAAGCAAAAGATACAATTTGATTTTAGGAAATGAAAGGAGTGACCGTGTAATTTCAGACAAATTGAGAAGTTGTTAGCCTAATTTACCCTAATGATAATAAGTGATACATAGCGTGATCAATTGGAATATAACAAGTCAAATGGTAAAAAAGACACTTCAAATGTCATTGTCCTTTTTTTAAGAATTTAAGGCTGTAAGTTATCTATCAAATTACTGCAAGAAGACAAATTTAGGTTAGGTAGACTAAGGTTGTGTTTTACTAGGGTAATTTTTAGAAATTATTACATATTCATAAATAAATAAAAAATTATAATTTTAATTATTATTATTTATATCACTTATCATTTATTTGTCAATTCAAATTTTTTCCTACAAA